CCAGGGAGGAGGTTATATGTCGATCCCTGTAATCGGTTCCCCCTCTCTACCCCACCCTTCCCGGTATCGCCATCTCACCACTGGTCCTGAAAGGATCATCTGCCCTGGATTCCCTGTGTTTCCATTTTTATAACACCACCCGAGGCACCAGTGAATTCTAGTATCTAAAGACTTGGTTGGTTTCAGCCATACCCTTGGCGCATCTCTGGATGTGATAGGACCTTTGCTCCATGCCTATAGGTGCCACTCATCTTTCGGTACGTGCTCCACAGCCCTACCTGTGCATGCAAATCACCTGGGGAAGTTAAAAAAGAAACTGCACCTACCTGAGCTGTGCTCTAGACCAGTGAACTAAGACCTGCTACCATAGGAGAGACAAGTCCTTGGCCAAGTGCTCCAGGTGGTTCCAGTGTTCAGCTAGTGTGGGTTGGAGACTACTAGCCTCATCATGTCTCACCTGGCCTTTCCAGGCCTAGTGGATCCCCTTGGACCAAATGCCACGCACTGCTTAGACAGCTTCCTCACCCTTCTGAAACGGGTCTCCAGAACCCGACTAAGGTGGGCTAAGTGAGCCAAGTAGGACACAAAAGTTAAAGAAACATCCACTCTCAGGGTCCCCGGGTGCCTGCCTCACTTTACTAGGTAGTTAGATTTAGGGACGGGGAGTGTCCCTCCTATGCCTGCAAAGGCCCCCAGAAGGGAGGTTAGAAAGAAATCAGGCAACCATTGAACACCTGTGAGAAACCCAAAGTGAGCATGCACAGACGAGGAGCCCCTAGGCCCAGGTAAAACCAATATCTTGGGCATACCCACCTTAGGTACATCATCACACAGGTGGGCCTAAACTCAGCCAATGGGGTCAACCAATACCTTCAACCCTGCCTCCCCAGCCAGAGATGTTAAATACCCCAGTTGCAGGAAGGCTAGCTCTCTTTTGGTCTTATGGGAGGCTGGAGGGCAGCACATGCACCTCCCGGCATGCCCCCTCAGGGCCCGCTCCTGGCCTACTCATGGCCCACATGCCCTTGGGCTCTTAGGCTCTTGCTCATTTGGTCTCTTGACCTCTTGGTCCCTAGAGATCCCCCAATTCTGCACAAGTAAGTGTTCTTTTCCACGTGGTTTTTCCTGCCCAGTTGTGAACCCCAGTGTGGCTTCTGCACAGCTTGGCACGCTTTCTAGAAATAGTGTGTACGTTTTGAGACTGAAACCTGGAACTTTTGGGATGGGCCAGTCAGGGTGCAGGATAGTACCAACGAAACATACAACATTCCTCTAGTTCTTTAATGCTTAACCAGCCTCCACCACCCCCTGTCATGGCCCCAGTTCTACGTTACAAATCTGACTAGAGCATGTACGCTGGTACAGGTAAGAGTTCTCAACACATGGAATCCAAGACAGAGAAACCCCTCAGGTACAGTAGTGGGATTAGCGAGACCATGAGGGTAGGGGGAAGGTAGGGGGAGAAAGGAGAACTGATAGCAATAATCAACATATAACCCTTCCCACCAGGGTGACAAACAACAGAAACATGGGTGAAGGGAGACAGCATATGGTGTAAGGTATGAAAATAATAATTTATAACTTATCAAGGGTTCATGAGGGTGGGAGAGGGTTAGGGAGGCGGAAAAACTGATACCAAGGGCTCAAATAGAAAGAAAATGTTTTGAAAAGAATGGTAGCAACAGATGTACAGATGTGCTTGACACAATGAATGGATAGATTGTTATAAGAGCTGTAAGAGCCCCCAATAAAATGATTTTAAAAAATTCACGTGGGTTACAAAACGTGCTTCCGTGTGAATTTTTTCAGCATGCAAAGCAAAGAACTTCATCTTGGCCAGTGGTTCTGAACCTGTGGGTCGAACAACCCTTTCACAGGGGTCACCCGATTCATAACAGTAGCAAAATGACAGTTATGAAGTAGCAACGAAAGTAATGTTATGGTTGCGGGGGTCGCCACCACATGAGGAACTGTCTGTAAGGGTCGCGGTGTTACAAGGTTGAGAACCACTGGTCTTGGCCCACAAGTCTTTCACAGGGCCTTGTACTTGATTGTCCTTGAATTATAGCTACTTAATTCCGTATTTATCTGCTCTCCTGCCCATTCAATCCATGTCTCTGACTAATTCTACTTCTTCTCTGGCAATCTCACCTAAAGAAACGGCCTCCCATTCACTCCAATCCTAAGGCCTTCTCCTCCTAGTCTCTAAATATTCCTTTTAAGTTTTTCCCTCCTTTCCATAACCATCCCTGTTAGATTCCTGGGATGGTTTGCCTGGTTCTTGCTTCTCGACACTGAAAGAAGCTATGTCATCCAGGTGGCTTTTATGAGAGAAAGGGCAGTTTTAGGGAGCGCTATCTCTGGAAAGCGGCAAGGCCACATTGCGGGGGCCGTGGGAGAGTTTGCCACTGAAACTGGCCATGAGAGGGACCCTGAGGTGGGGGGAGAGGGGGGCTGTTGTCCCCCAACCCACTGGCTGGAGGGGGCGGGGCGGAGGTGAGGGTATTGGCGGAGCTTAGAGGCTGAGTTCAGGTGCCCATGTGTGATAGAATGTCGTGGGTGCCCAGTTGGGTGTGCCCAGGTTGATGCTGACCGGTGTCTAGGTGACCTGGGTCTGAACATCCCCAACCCTGGATTGTCCCCATAGGTGTCTAACACGTGCCCAATTTCTTTCCAGTCTATTGTGGCACGACCAGCTCATGTTGTTTACCGTCGGCCTTCAGTGGACACCCCTCGAGCCCCCATCTCTCCACCTTTCATTATCACTGCCCCGGCTTACACCCTCATCACCTCATCGGACGCGAGCAATAGCCTGCTTTCTGGTGTTCCTCCCAGAGAGGTCACCCAGTGGACCTGTGCCTGCTATCGCTGCCATCCTGCTGCCAGGTAAGCCTCCTTTTCAGATGTAAAATCTTACATCATTGACTTGCCCTCTGTTAACCTACAGAACATAGTGTTTCTTTGATGAGTTCTCTTTATGATTTGACTATATTCATTCCACTCCACCTGACCAAACATTTTTTTTTTAACCTATCATGCTAGATCATGCCTCTGTTTTCTTCCGAACTTTGTCCATCCTAGTTAATGATTGCCTCCCGAGGAAGCGGCGGTGGGGCCCCGTCTGACCTCCTCCGGCTACCCACGGAGGAAGGAGGACAAAATGCTGCCCAATCCCATGCCATCCTCATGACCAGTTGCAGATGAGATCCCTGTGATCCGTGGAGTTTCCGCGGACTGGTTCTCAGAAGTAGATCTCCAGGGGTTTCTTCCTTGTCAGCCTTAGTCAGCAAGCTCCCCTGAAACCTGTTGGGCATCAGAAAAGCATCCAGGTGCCACACCCAGACGAGGAGGGACCGCGCATGAGGTGTAGTGGTCAGGAACCAAACGTGGGCCTCCTGCGTGGAAGGCTAGTCCTCCTGTCAGCGCGCGTCAGTTGGGTGCTCTTGAATGGATCTGACTTGTGCAAACTCTTTATGACAGAGGAGAACCTCAGGTCTTTTTCCTTCAGCACTGCTGGTGGGTTTGACCTGCTAACATTAAGTTTACGTACGAATGAGCGCTAGACCGTTGTACCACCATGGATCCTTACCTGTACACCAGAGAGAACATAATATGCCCCGTCTCTCTCTGATGATCCAGACAGCGCTTCTGTCAACAGATGGTCTGTGATCTGTGTTCTGCTATATATATAAAGTCCCAAGAGAGGGCTCTCCCTGATATCAGAAACAGCTATTCTTAAATCTATTTCCATCTCTCCTTGTTTTCCTTATACTGTGCTCCTTGTCTTAGACTGGGTTCTCTAGAGGAGCAATTGTAGTGAAACACACACACACACACACACACACACACACACACAAACACACACCACAGATTTCTTTCAAGAAAACTGTTCCTACAGTTATAGAAACTGGCAAGTCCCAAACCCACGGATCAGGCCTCAGACCGGAGACGTCTCCTGATTCCCATGGTCTGCAGGGTCTGACAGAGTCCCAGCTTGTTGGGTCAGAGGTTGGCCTGCTGTTCACAGGCTGTCAAAGCTGGCGGATCCCCCAACCTGCATGTCAGGTGGTGGACTGCTGGCTCCCGACCCAAGAACTGACAGCCAAAGAAAGTTTTGCCAAAATATCCATCTATCCCAAATGCAGGCCACACCCTCAAGGAAATGTCCCTTACATCAGGAAAAAGATAAAAGGGTAATCATATAAAACTGCAAAACACAGCCCACCCAAGTTGTCATTTAATGCAAACCATCATACTCTTGGTCAGTATAAAATGTCAGTGTAAAAAGTCTTGCTCCAATAAACAATCTCTATTCATACACTCAGGAGACATGGTGGTGCAGTGGTCAAAGCTCTCGGCTGCCACCTAAAGGGTCAGCAGTTCATACCCACCATCCACATCCTGGGAGAAAGATGTGGCACGCTACTTGCCTAGAAGTTTTCTAGTTTCGGAAACCCCGTGCATCCGTTCCTCTCTGCCCTGTAGGGCCACTGTGAGCAAAGAATTTGGCTTGGTTTTGTACACTCAAAACATAAAATCCAACCCACTGGGAGGTGAACTCCCCCGGTGGACTGGTTTGGATTCGGAGCACCCCTCAATGATGCATAAATTACCTAAGGAAATGTACTTCCCCCAACGGTCCAAAAGGACAAGCTCTTTATCTTTGGGGGGAAAATGTAATGTACATTCGCCTATGTAAGGGTCACGGATGGTTATTGCTGGACTGCTGAGCTGACGGTGGTGGTTCTGACCCATCCCGTGGTGCTGGAAAGGCCTGGTGGTCGGGTTCCAGGAGGTCACAGTGCAGGGCACTCCGGGCAGTGGCTGGTACTGGGCATCACCTCGGGTCACCATGAGCTGGATTCGACTGGGTGGCAGTGGGTTTGGTTTTGTCTACATGGAATGTGAAACACGAAGATGTGTAAGTGTGTGATGCAGGCACTTTTCTGGGTAATCCTGGGACGCTGACCTAAGTGAATGGACTCCCTTGTCCTCTGGTTCTAGTCGAGTGTGGCCAGTGGGGAGCATGCGTGACAGGGATAGTGACAGGGATAGTGACATAGCACATGCATCCCCGCTCCGCTCCTTGCCCTGGGACTTCCGCGAGAGTGCTCTCAGGCCCCTTTCCTCACACAGCTCGACTAGCTCTCAACAGCCCCTCTCTCTCCCTTCTCTAGCAAATCTGAGAGGTCTCCTTTACACAGCTGACACCTTTACAAACAGCCCTGTAGCAAACGCTCTTCAACAGCCCCAATTTGAGTACAGAACCTGCTTCCTAGATAGCGACCCATCATCACTACATCTGCACCTTCTCACTTCATTGAGCCCCAGTGTCCAGATAGGCTGCCAAGAGACATCAGGTGTAGGTAGGATGTCTTTCCACATCTATATGCAGTTCTAATTTGAGGTCCTATAGAAGCTTTGAGGACTGACCCCGAATGAGGGAGGGATTTCTCAAAGGGTTCCACTGCCGCTTCTTGAACTTGGAAACGGCAGTGGATGCTGGAGATAGTCTGTCCAGTCAAACTCCGGTTTACTCAAGGGGCCACAAGGGTTTGAGCCGAAGATACTGGTCTGAAATGAAAACCTGGAAGCTGGCAGTGTCTGATTAGAAAATGTCAAACGTCATTTTGGCCCTCATTGGGGGAGATGGATGCAAAGTGGAAGATTTCACTCCGTCCATAATTATGTGGCTCCGTCTTCCTGGACTCTAAGACTCATCTACAAAGATACAAAAATTACACAGCAATCTGAAGCCTTAAAAAAAAATAAAAAAGAAGGGAGGAAAAAAAGGAAAGGGGGAAAATGGCAGTAATTAAATGACAAAAACTATATTCAAATAAAATTAAGGGTTTGACTTAAAGCCATGGGGGGCATCTCCCTTTGTTTCTGCCTGTGTAGCATTTAAAGGAGAATGAAGCACAAAGAGCCTTCTGGAAGTGTCTGAGCACTGACTGGAGGCCCAGCTTGGGGAGAAGTCTGTGGTCCAAGGAGTCCTGGGAGTCCAGCACCTCCCCTCTCCCGCCCCTGGTCTCCTGGAAGTGTCTGAGCACTGACTGGAGGCCCAGCTTGGGGAGAAGTCTGTGGTCCAAGGAGTCCTGGGAGTCCAGCACCTCCCCTCCCCCGCCCCTGGTCTCCTCACGGGGCGCCCGCCAAGGCTCCTGAATCAGCAAGAAGGAGGCACTTCAGAGTTTAGGTGGGAGCTTCCCCACCTCATCAAGGGCTGGCGATCCACTCTTGGGAAATGGAAGCTGCTGTACAAAGATGGTTTCCAAGCAGAGAAACACTTCCAATCCACAGAAAAGCATTGATCAGTCATGGCCCACCCATATTTAACACCCATATTTAGCACTTGGCCGTTTTCAATGACCGCTAAAGGAGTAAACATCAAACAGTGGAGGCCCCACTGGTAGCACCCACTCTCACCACGCCCATTCTGTCTTTTTTTTTGTAAATCATTTTATTGGGGGCTCATACAACTCTTCTCACAATCCATCCATCCATTGTGTCAAGCACATTTGTACATTTGTTGCCATCATCATTCTCAAAACATTTGGTTTCTACATGAGCCTTTGGTATCAGCTCCTCATTTTTTCCCTCCCTCCCCGCCCCCTCTCCCTCACGAACCCTTGATAATTTATAAATTATTATTATTTTGTCATGTCTTACACTGTCCGATGTCTCCCTTTTCTGTTGCCTGTCCCCCAGGGAGGGGGTTCTATGTAGATCCTTAGATCACACCATTGTGATCCCCAGGGTGTTCAATGGCTGGTCTTCAGAAGCAGATTCCCAGATTTTTCTCCGGTCTTGGTCTGGAAGCCCCACTGCGCTTGTTCAGTCCCAACTACACACAGGCAGCTGGGGACTGTACTTGAGCTGCATTTGCAGGGATCCAAACCTGGATTGCTCACTGAGCCCCCACCCCCACCCCACCCAGCGACTTGTGAATTTAGGGCATGGATGACTTGGGGAAAGCCTCTAAGGAACATGTCCCGCGATTCAGGTGCTGTTGGAGGTGGGACGAAGGCTTACCCCAATGGGGGCAGCCTGGAGACCCAGGGGAGAGGAGAAACGGGCTGCCTAACAAGCTGTGTTACATGATGGCTGCTGGTGGTGGTGAGGACCCTTGGCTGGTCGGAGGACTCCCAAGGAGGCTGGCCACGCCTGGGGCCTAGAGAAATAGGTGCCCCAATTCCTGTCAGTCTGCCCAGGGCTACCCTGTCGTGTCAAGGTGAGTGGCCCAAGGGGAACTCACCAGAGAGATGGGAGAGGCCAGTGCCTTAGTCAGCTGCTGCTCCCCATCATCACAGCCCTAAGGACATGATGAGAATTCCCCAGTGATGGGGCAGAGAGCCCCAGTCAACGCCACTCTCCCCTGCAGAGCCCGGTGCTTACTGCCATCCCCACCCCCGCCTCAGCCTCACTGCCACTGCGTCAAGTCTTTGGATTCAGAGCTCCTTATCAGGCCAGGTAGAACTTGCTGCTCTTGGGTTTCCCAGATGGTGACTCTCACCTGAGCTTTCTCCCTCGGAGCAGCTGGTGCATTGAAAATAGTGCCCCGGCTGGTAGCAGCCCGCCGTGAAACCCACTGTGCCGCCGGGGTTCCTTGGTGCTGAACACAGCAGGATAACTAAGATGCAGTAGCAAGCCAGGCCTTGCAGTCAGCTCCGCCCTGCAGCACCCTCTGCTGAGAAAGTGCCTTTGACCCCAGTAGACTGAATCCGAATATGCAGGTTAGCCGGACCCCTAAGTGATTCTTATGTGTACATAAGACACACACACACACACACACACACACACACACACACACGGTCTTCTTAAATTGTAGACTGAGATTCAGTGTATCTGGAGCCCTGATGCTGTAGTATGTTATGCACAGGACTGCT